AAGAAAGAAAAGAGCTAACTAGTAGCTAGTGGCTGGCAAGCATTCAAGAGGCACTCATGGATATCGGACATGCTAGGCAATTCTCTGAGAAGCGCTGTCCTTCCTATCAAGAAATCGGAAACCTTCAAATCCGGTGTGCACAAAATATTTAGCTTGGAACCCTGGGACCTGGTAAGTCTGGCGCCGCAAAAATAAACAGAACGCACTAGCTCCAGAGGTCTGGAAGGGAGAATTTAGGGTTCAGGGTTTGGAGTCTACGGCCTCAGGGACTGCGGGGCGGGAAGTCTGAAGGGCAATGCCTACATTTCGAGCCCAAGCAACAATCGCGATGTATCACAGCATACCACACTCTAATAGTCTCCGGACCTTAACCCCAAGGGCGTGTAGTAGAGGAACCCAGACTACAAAAGGGGCTGGAGACTTCTGCAAAATCCAGAGCTCCAACACCCGACCTTCCCCCGAAACTACCAGGAAACCATGACATGCGAAGATTACCGTAGATGCGTGAAGAATACCAGTATTCTACACTGGCAATCCGTTTATACTTATACTACCGTATACCCCTATTCTAATCAAACTTTCGAAAGCGGGCTACATAGGACTCCCAGTTTCGTGGCGGACAAAAACACAGAAACTCAAACTTTGAACAGTTTAGCAGCTTCCAGTTTTCGTCCTCCCTAGCACCAGGTAGAATTCCCGTGTCCTTTATTTTGCAGATGAATGTGCCTTTAGCCCGAATCCCTGGCTGCAGGGTCTAAGTTTAGGATTAAGGGTTTCGAGTTTAGGGATCTCACAGGGCCAGGTTTTGATAGCACCAGAAACTAAACCGTTTGCATGGACCGTACCAGCCCTATCACCATACCACACTCAGCTGAAAACCCTAAACCTCAAACAGTCGACCCTTATACTCTGAACCCTCAACCTAACCTGAAATCCCTGGACCCCAAGCCCCTCTAAACCCTGAAGCCCTAACCCCGAACTACCCCAGTTCGTGTGCACCAGGTCGCAACATTACCGACGACTCTGCGTGCCGACCCTTCTCGTAGTCTGCCGAAACCTGCTTGGTAGCTTCCGTCAAGAACTTGGGTTCAGGCTTCAGGGTGTAGGGTTTATAGTATGGGGTTCGTCGTTTAGGGTATGGTGTATAGGGCTCGGGGCGTAGATGTGACCAGCAACACGCTCTGGGGCGGAAGATAAAACGTGAATTCAAGGAATCTAAAGGGCTACGGTGATTGATGGGTTTAATTACAGTCTACTGTACTATTCTGGTTTAAACAAAGCAGAAGGTTCAGATTATATGCATGGATATAGTGTGGTAATACAGGTCTTTTGTTCTTACTTGATACCTTTGCTTCTACCTGTAACCCAAAATACCTTCAGCTATGTAGTATAAACAACTGCAGATACAAAAGGTATCCCTAGACCACTAAACCTATCATGAGGTAACCCTAAGCCCCGAAACCCTGAAACCCAAACTCCTATCATCAGGTAACCCTAAACCCCTGAAACCCTGAAACCTAAACCCTGAACCCTAAACCCTAGACCCTAAATCCCCCTCATGATACCGCCGAACCCCTAAGCCCTAAACTCCTCTCATGATAACCTCGGACCCCGAAACCCCAACTCCTAAACCCTAAACCCCGCTCATGATAACCCCTAACCCCTAAACGCCAAATCCTATGCCCTAAACCCTAAAACCCCGAGACCCTAAAACCCGAAACCCTGAACCCCGAGACCAAACCTAGGGCCTTGTTGTCATCAGTACCTCCTGTGGTCAGCAGCGCCAGGCAGCAGCAGCCGCGCTCCTACTCTTGTTACTCAAAATCCTGCACGACCTATAGGGTTTAGGGTTTAGGGTTTGATGACCTATAGTGTACTGTAGTACCAGCATTCCAAAAGGTATAGGATGATGCAGGATCTTTAGTATCCATCCTGGCATCAAAGAGTGCTTTAGGATTTACGGTCTACGGCGTAGAGTTTGAGGGTTCAGGGTTAAGGTGCGTTTAAGGTTGATGGGCTAGAGGTTGTGGTTTTGTAGCGGACCTTTTTCCAACTGCGCGACACAGCTGGAATGGCAAGTACCAAGGTCAGAGAAAGACTACCCTCAGCATGCGAACCCACAGCGTGGCCCCTTAAGAAAACTCCCTCAGCAGACAGCCCTAGAGATTGGGCTTTGGATTGTAGGGCTTAAGCTGCACAACCTGTAAGACGAGCATGTTGGAACTCGAGCTTTCGAGAGCAGCTTGGGAAGGAATTGTAACTGCGCCATGCTCAGAATCCCCGAAACAAAGTGACTAAGTTTAGGGTTTAGGGTTTAGGGTTTCGGGTTCAGTGTTCAGGGTTTAGGGATTAGTGTTCAGGGCTTAGGGTAGTTTTTAGGATTTAGCGTAGGTATTTAGACTTCCGACAGCAGCACTTATGTCACAGTGCATCAAACGAAGTCCTTGGGATCTTTCGCCTTTCTGTTAAACATGTTGATCCGATGTCCCGATGTCGTACGCAAGGCCTTTAGGCCCTAGGTTCGTGGAAAGATGCTCTGGCAGGGCTCTATGACAACAACTAAACTGGAACCTGAACAATAAACCCCAATCCGTGAGCCCTAAACCCTTAGCCCTACAACCCCCAAAAGCTCAAAGTCCTAAACCCATGAACCTTTATGCCCCAAACCCCAACCCCGAAACCCCAGTCCCTTAAAGCCTAAACCTTCAGAAAGCGCTGCGGGCTCCTGAAGGCCCTCGCAGGCCGGGAATCGCTGCATTCCTTGCTGGGTTGCTGTTAAGGAACTTAAACTAAGTTCCTATGTAGGGTTTAGGGTTTAGGGTGTAGGGTTTAGGGCTCAGGGTTTAGGGTTACTATACTACCCCCTATAATGGAAAATCAAAATGAAAACAAAACGGAAAATGAAATGCAAACTGGGGGAAGATAAGGATTTAAGGCTGCATGCCTTGAGCTTGGGGCTCGGCAAGGGATGATGGGGTTCAGGGCTTAGGGTTTTAGGGTTTGGGGGGTACCTTTAAAGGGGCTACAAGGGTTATATGGGGTTTGGAGTTTAAGGTTTCCCAAAACTCTGAAGGTCGCTCTGAAGGTGTAGGCGTTAAGGGATCAGGGTTTAAAGCTTAAGGTTTAGGGTTTCAGGATTTAGGGCTTAGGGTTTAGGCCTTAGGGTTTAGCTGAGGGCTTCGGGTGTTAGGGATTCTAATAGGGATTGAGGATATACTGTACAACACGTGTATAAAGCTCACAAAGGGATAACGTTGGCAAATATTCAGGCATCTACAGCCCGGCTCCGCACCAGGGAGATTTGTGGTTTTGGGGCGTAGGTTTGCAGCTTAGAGTTTAGGGGGTAGGGTCTAAGCTTTGGGGCTTCGAGTTCTGAGTTTTCCAGCTATGGTCTAAGCTCAGGGTTTAAGGTGAGGGTTTGATGGCTTCGCCGTATCAAGTTTAGGGTTCGATGTTTTCGAATGATTTAGTATCCTGAGTAGATCGAATGGGCAGAAACTCAAAACCATTACTTCCTACAGCCCCTATATGATCTATAGTCTAAACTCCCAGTATCTCCCTAAGTAACCCCTATAAGCCCCTATAATACTCCCCTACATAACCTCTACCACTGCTCGAACCCTGCGGTAGCAAAGCTCAAGGCCGTTAACTCGGTTCTTAAACCTTTCACTTAGGGTTTAGGGGTTTAGGGTTAAGGGTTTAGGGTTTAGCAAAAGCTTAGTAGCAATTACCCCCTAATTCAAAGGTACAACCCATAAAGCTGTAGGCAATGGGGTTACAGGTAATCCTGAACCCTAAACCTGAAACCCGGAAGCCTGTACCTCCAAGCCCATTCCAGCCTTATATGTGAAATTCCAGGATCGTTTAGGGTTTAGGGTTTTAGGTTTAGGGTTTAGGGGGGGATAATTTAGGGTTTAGGGTTTAGGGGATATTTTAGGGTTTAAGGTTCAGGGTACCAACACCCCAAACCCTGGTGAAAGCTCTTGGTCACCGAGGTTCCATCTACGATTGCTGGAACGCCGCCACTGCGGGAGATGTTGGTGACCAGGTCTTCCTGGGATCTGTACAAGCGCTTGGAGGTTCAGTTTAGGGTTTAGGGCTTAGGCCTTGGGGTTTAGAAATTAGGGCTTAGGGTTCAGAGCTTCGGGCTTAGGGTAAGGGGCTTAGGGTTAAGAGCTTCATGTTTACAGCTATACATACTTTTACGAGGGTTATAACCAGTGAAAACTACCCCTCTTGAAGAAAGTCCATTGGGACATTGTCACCTGGCCTGCACGTAGGATCTGTCGGAGGGGTGGGCTTTCCCAAGCCCTGCAAACCCCCGTTTACAGGGCCCTGGGGTATGTATGGATTGGAAAGGATTTATGGGATTAATGGCATCCCTATCAAGGAGTCTAAAGAAAGAAGTTGGAGAAACTCCCGGATGTAGGATTTAGGGTTCTGAGTAACCTCACTTCGTTCCGGGGTTAGTGATGCCACCAAAAACCGTTTGGTTCAGGGCATGGTCGAGCATGAAAAGACCGCTTACGTAAAGCCTTCGCGCCGTTCAAGGCTTGGAGGTTGGTCTTGCAGGATTTGAAGCTGGTGGCAGTTTTAGGTGCGGTTGAGGCGGGCTGTGGGAGAAATCTCGTGCTGGGTAGCAAGTCTGACATACAGTAGCTCCTGACTAGCGTACACCATCGTTCGTAGGCGCTCCGCACCTACTCAGGATTGCTTTCATCAACCACATCATACCACATCTCACTGGCCCGAGCAAACGGCAGTTTTTTCTGGAGGCTTCCGGCAGCTCGGCTGATACCAACACGCATCTGGTTGATCCAGCCAGGCCGCACACACGTCCGTTACATGCAAGGCAACGCGTGTAGTTCACGCATCGCACAGTTTCGCAGTTCCTGCAGCCCTGTTAGGATCTTAGAGATTCAGTGTGCCTAGATCAGCCGATGTTAATGCGCGTTTCATGTACATCTATTACAAACATCCTGGGGCCAAAGGCAAAGAACTCAGAACTCGTCGCCGTAGCCCTCCTCCTCGCCCTCACCTGCAATTGCAGAGGGCGGGTGACTTGCAGAAGCTGGAGACTTTTGCCCATGTTCAAGCAAAAATGCAACGGCTTGGTCGGGTTGTTTGGGAGAGATCGCGCAACTCAGTGTAGAAGCCTAAACAGAACAAGCGCCAATGGTATTTTCAGGTCTATTTGAGACACGCGCACCCTGTGCCATCGAGACTTTCGAGGTTCCGCAAGTCTGCAACCTTTGCCCTTCCGGCAGGAAACATAACCCCGATAGAACCCCGATAGAACCCTGATATAACCCTAATATAACCCAATAGAACCCTAAGAGCCCGCAACTACGCAACAGCTAACAATATAGTGCCCCATTAAGTAGATTGAATTTGGCTTTGGGTATATTAAAAGCAGTTCCCCGTATACCCCATATTCTATCTATTTAAGGGGGACTATATTGGGCGCGATCCGCAAAACAAAGTATGGATTCAGGCGAGATCAGCCATGGTTCTTTGAGGGCTTCCCCTATTCTGAGGCCCCCATGATAAGGACTATATTATATTGGGGTCTATATTCGGGTCCCCCCATTTCGGGAAACAACCATTATTCGTGGACTTCAGGATTATTGATTCCGCACGGAGCAGCCCTTTCAACTACTTTTTTTGGATTGGAAACTGTCGTTTGACAATTTAGTCATGGTAGCCTACACATTGCCCCATCAAGGTTAAGTGTTCACCCTGATTCTCGGGAGGTAGTCCAGGACTTCTACACCGATCCATCCTTCTATACTATAGGTGCAGTACTGCCCCCCCTCACTGACAGTTGGCTAATAAGTATAATATGGGAATATATAGCCCGTAATAGGACCCCTAGTATAGACTGTTACCGGGGGGGTACCCAAACTATAGGTCTAGGTGGGGTATCAGACAAGGTTGTCCAGTCAGCCCATGCCTTTTTTATTATATTGATGACTGTGCTTGTGTCAGATGTTGAGGAAAGAGTACCCTCGCCTGAGTTTGTAGACATATTAAAGCCAACCTGGGCCCAACATAGTGGCTCCAAACCTGAAAAGCAAGCAAATAGACTGCTTCGGTTTGAGCCCTAAGCCCCAAACCACACTCTTTGGAAAATCCGTGGCAAAGTGCGAAGATTGTTGTGCAGGGTCCTTAAGGACCTGCCTCCATAGATGCGAGGCAACCTGTTCATCATCAGAAGACCTATGATCCATACAAGGCCCGAAGACTAAACCCTTAGGGTTTAGGGCTTAGGGTCTATGGTTTGGGGCTTTGGGCTAGGGCTTAGGGTTTAGGGCTTAGGGCTTAGAGTCTAGGGTTTACTGCTTAGGGACCCTTTGGAGCACTCGTCAAAGCGCAGCAGCATGTCTTCTCTATGGGGCCCCAAACACTCAACCTTAGATTCGAAATTTGAAAGCACAAGCCCTAACCCTGAAGCCTGAACCCGAAATCCTAAACCTCGAACCCTAAATCCTAAACCCTAGACCTTATACCCTAAACCTTAAACCCTAAACCCGAAATCGTAAATCCCCAGGATCCTGAGCCCCCAAAGGATTCCGAGGGCCTTCCGCGGTTTCGATACCGACCTCCTCGTAGTCCTTCAGTTCTAGTTTAGGGTTTAGGGTTTAGGGTTTAGGTTTTGGGGTTAAGGATTTTTGGTTTAGGGTTTGGGGCTTAGGATTAAGGGCTAAGGGTTCAGGGGTTTACTCGCGCAAACACGCATGGAAGCCTACAGAGCCCCTTTTCAAACGGACAGTAGCCTTTTTAGGGCCCATTTGTGGCTTCCAAGTTGATGCGGGGAAAAGACTGTGGTTTAGGGGTTAGGGTTTAGGGTTCAGGCTGGGTTCTGAATCTCTTTCGTTTTTTGAAGGATGTACCACTTCCCAGAGAGCCTAGTATACTTCGACTAAGGAATCTACCGTACATGAAACTGGGAGCCATAATATGATTCATGGAATCTTCAGGGTACTGTGATGACCTATAAACCCTCTGTACATCCCTGCATAACCCATATGACGCTAAGCAGGGGAAACGCTCGTGGCCATGTCTACAACAGCATGGGACATCCAGTGTCCAGGTAGCTGTGGGTTCAGCAGGAAAAACTAAATCTGGCTGGTTCTTAGTAGGGAATCAGGGAACATATTATAGAGGGGCTATATAGGGATTGAATTACCTTATTCCCCACTAAGAACCAGTAGGTAGCTGTAGTAGTAGCTAGCGGCAGAGGAGCGACAAGCCTAAACCTTAAACCCTACCTTCAACCTTTAACAATAAACCCTACATGTCCGTAATCCTTCTCTGACTCCTGCATTACCCCGAGCCCTGACCCTGAACCGGAGATTCAGCTTTTCCAGGTTCGCTTTGCCTGCCTAGGAGCCCTCACTGAATAGTAGCGGTTCCTTGGGGAGTTGAAATACTGGGCTGCTTTTTATAAGGAAAACTTTAAAATTACCATAATAAGGAAACCGTATTCTTTGCCTCATACCCATACTATGGCACGTAACTTAGATTCGAGTTCCTAAGCAGCAACCCAGACTAAGCAACAATAGAATTTTTTTGTTGGGACACCCTGATCCAGTCATAAACTTGGCCAGGGCCTCGCTAAACAGGAAAGCAATCATGCGGCTTAGGATTTAGGGCTTAGCGCTCAGGGTTTAAGGTTTAGGGCTTCAGGTTCAGGGCTTAGGGCTTGGGGTTTGGGAGAGAATGAGGTCTCTTGTAGGTCAGCTTTTGGAATCTCAAGGGACTCAGTAACTCAGTAAACAGGTTATAAAGCGGCCACCCGAATGGGGGGCGGGGAGGGGCCTACAACCGCATATATAGCGTGCTTACTAAGTCCGCTCAGCCTTCAAGTAGAAGCCAGTGGCGTGGATTTAGGTTTGAGGGTCTAGGGTGTATGTTCAGACGATATGATTTTGAAATCTATTTGAAGTACCTTGTACTGGAACTATACAAGGAATCTGGGACTATAAGTATTGGTGTTTGTAGAGGCTTCTTCATCACGCTACCCAAAACTACTGCCATTGTCTCCATTACCCCCAAAACCGGCGCTTAAGTTGGCGATCCAAGGTATCGTCATATAGACCCAATTATGAAGCCCTAGACCCCTAGAGGATAAACCACTAAACCCTAAACCCCTAAAACCTTGAACCCCTGAACCTCCTACCCCCTCCCTGGAGGAACTAGTAAGACTTTGTTTGCGACTATTTTGGGGGAAGGGGGAAATAAGGGGGATGCAATATAGGGTTTACCTGCAACCCCAATTACCTACAATTTTCAACAATAATCACTTCTGAACTCATAAGTAGAACCCAGACTGTAGGTAATTTGGGTGTAAGGTAAAGGATTTGGGCTTATAGGCCTTCATAATCCAATGGTATCTCCAAAACGCACAGCAGGCTCCTTCTCCAGGGCCGCTAGGTCCTCTCGGGCCTCGGAGAACTCACCCTCCTCCATACCTGGCTTAGGTTTAGAATTTGGAGCTGTAGATTTTAGGATTTTGCGCTCCAGCGTGGGATGTGAGCTTCTGTTTAGGGTTTAGGACGCAGCTCTTGAGGGTATGAATGACGTAGTATTGAAGGATGTGTGTCTCTTAGTGATGATTCCTTTTGACCGTCACCCCGAAACTCATCAGGTTTGGAAATTTGTGCTAACGGATTGGAGGTTGGGGCCCTGGAATTGTCGGGGTTTATAAGCCCAAAGCTCTGACAAATAAACCCCAGATCCTAAAGCCTAGGCCCAAAACCCAAAACCCTAAGTCCGCCTTAGCACTTACCACTTTGGAGGGAGGCTCCGAAACGCCTCCGCCCCACGGGCCAAACTCAAGGCCAGAGGGCTTCCTGGACCCCCTAGGTTGAGGCTTAGGCTTTAGGATTTAGGGTTTAGGATTTAGGGTTTAAGGTTTTGGATTTATGGGTTGAGGGTACACAGCCCAAAGACCCACGAATAGGATATACATAGACCCACGTGACAGGGTAGTTGGAGGGGTTTAGGGCTTTGGCTTTAGGGAATTACCAAAACCCGCAATTAATCATGTACCCTCTACATACCTACTACTTGGCACTATATCCCCCAAGTATCCTCGAATTTGCCCTATCATTAGTAGGTCTAAGCCATAAAGCTGTAGGTAACTGGGGTTGCCGGTAGATACACGTTTAGAACCCTAAACCCTGACTCCTAAACCCTAAAACGATCCAGATGAAGCAGAAGCAACCCTGAGCCTCGCAGCCAAAAGCTCTGACAAAAATGTTACTTTGAATAATCCCGTGGGTTATACCACAATAGAAACTAAACAGTAATTCCTGGATCTATAACAAAAACTAGCATGCTTCTAAACAATTCCGTGGGGTTATAGTATGATAGGGATGACAAATACTGCCTAAGGAGACTTCAGAATAGGGTCCTGTAGGGCGTAGGCGCAGGAAATGATATAAGAGCATAGTTCACCCTGTAAGTCGTAGTCCCTAAACCCCACACTCTAAACCCAAAACCCCAAACCCTAAACACTTAAGTCGTAGACCCTACTCCGAACTGCAACCCAGCCTTCGCCGACGTAGTGGTGGACGAAGGCGCGCTTGGAGTACATCAGGTCGAACCTGAAAGAAGAAGGCTGGTTCAGGGCTTAGGGTTTAAGGTTTTGGGCTTAGGGTTTACCCTAAGCCCTAAACCCTCAGTGGACTAAAAGAGCTCAGCACCCCTTTATCCAGCCATGTTCCCACGGTACGACGGAAGAAGCGTTTGGGCCATCTGGGGGCTCCAGGTTTCTCAACTGCGGAGGTTTAGGGGTTAAGGATTTAGGGTTTAGGGGCTAGGGTCTTAAGGGTTTAGGGGTTTAGGCTTTATGGGTTTAGGGTTTAGAGGTTTAGAGGTTTAGGGGTTTGGGGTTTAGGGTTTAGGGGTTTAGGGTTTAGGATTAAGACGTCCAGGTAGTATGCTGAAGTCATGAGGCCTAAAAGGGCATGAGAGAGTTTGATTTTCAGGTTACCTGCAGCGTACCGATGAGAGTGTCCATGGCCCGCTTGGCATCGGGGCTGTTAGGTTGGGCTTGGGATTTCGGATTGTAGGTTTAGTGTTTAGGGCTACTGCGAATGCAGTCTGTGGATGTTTGTGGTCCCTTACCCTTAAAATTAATCCCCCGCACCAGTAAAAGTTTACCGTGCCAGCACACGATAAGGGAAACATTCATCATTAGGGTGTGGGGAGGTCTACTAGGAGATGGAATGAATCCCTCGGGACTAGGCACAACAGTTGAGGTTTTAGGGCCAAGGGCTTCTCCACTGTTAGGGGACCCTAAAACTCTAAACTCCTCAAAACCCTTAACCCTATATAACCCCCTTTAACCCCCTTTAAAGCTACCCTAAACCCTATATAACACCTATACGACCCCCTATAACCCCCCTTTAAAGGCTCTAAGTGCAAGCCCAGCAGCTTGTGGTCAATGCGGGAGAAAACCTCCGCAATGGCAGTGCTGTTCCTCAAAATCCAGAGATTTAGGGTTTAGGGTTTGAATGTTTTAGGGTTTAGGGTTTTAGGGTTTAGGGTTTAGGGCTGAGGGGTTTAGGGTTTAGGGACGAGTTTAGGGTTTGAGGGTTTCGAGAGTTTCAGGGTTTAGGGATTTAGGTTTCCCCCTGTCAGGGTTTCGGGAAGTCAGGATTAAGGGCTCCGGGAGACTGTCTAGCCTGAAAACATGGTAGTATTCCTAAATAGGCGGACTCCAATATAGACCCCAAAGTACAACAATCATTGATTCAGGGACCCCCAAGAAGGTGCCCCTAATTTTGGGAAAACCCCACATCACAGATGCGCAGGGATGTCTTATCTGCTGCATCATGCTTGGATGCCGCGATGGGATTTAGATTTAGAGGACCTCTTTGATAATCTCTGTTCCCTGTACCTCGGCTAAGTGCCCTACTACCTTAAACCCTAAATCCCAAACCGTTCACCCAAAACCCTCAACCTTTAGCCCCCTAAACCCCAAACCCTAAATAGTAGTTTCCATTTTCCATTATCCTTATATAACCTCAATATGTAACCCGAATACAACCCCAATATAGCCCTAATATTACCCCAGTATAACCCCAATATTACCCTAGCATAGCCCCAACAGAACCCCATTATAAACCCTATATAATCCCTATAATCCCTAAAGTTTCCATTTCATTTTCCATTATCCCTATATAACCCCAATATATTCCCTTGTACCCATTAACCCCAAGCCATGAACCCCTAAACCCTAAACTCCTAAACCCTAAAACCTAAAATCTAAAACCTAAAACCTAAACCATAAACCCCCTAAACCCTAAACCCTCAACCCTCAACCCTTAACCCTCATCCCTTAGCCCTGAACCATCAGGCCAGGCGGCGAGATCATGCAGCAGGCGCGCATGACTTTTGCCAAGTCGCCACCGGGCACAACCTGGGTTGCGGTTGAAAAAATGATATCAAGTCACCATACATTATGGTATATGGGGTTTAGGCTTTAGGCTTAAGTCACCATATTATGGGTATATAATGCTGTTAACTCACCCTAGGGCTCCCAGTTGGCTAACTAATAGGTTACTGGACTATGTAACTATAGGGTATATAGAATCCCGTTCCCATTATTTAGGTATCTGGAGCCCTAAGATTAATTCAATATGGGTATGTCGGGTTTAGGGTATGTAGGGTTTAGGGTTAAGTCACCATATTATGGGCGTATCGTATATAGTGGGGTTTCTTTAAGATAGTAACTTCATTTAGATTCCTTAACAGCAACCGAGCAACGGTCGGAGGCTGGTAGTTGATGCCGCACTTGAAGCCTGAGTTGCTTTGCTTGAGGGTTTAGGGTTGAGGGACTCTCCTCAAAAAAGACATATCTTACTGAAATTACAAGAAAACCAGGGAATAAAATCCCTATATGGTCCCTATGTACTAAATTCTCATGTTCCCTACTAAGCCCCTGTAAAATATATGATCCCAATATAATCACTATACATTCTTTTCCCATATTCTCTACTAAACCGCCAGTAAGATACTTCAACGCTGCTGACCATCGGGCTACCCAGACGCCTAGTACTGACAGTCTACGTGATTTTCCCTTTAGGATTTGGAGTTCAGGGTTTGAGGTTTAGGATTTAGGGTTTAGGGTCTAGAGTGTGCGGTTTCTGGTATAGGGCTTAGGGCTCAGGGTTTAGGCTTTTTTTGTGTACCCTATTCTTAACGGCCGTATCACACTGGAACCCAGAGAAAAAACGGCCATAATTTTGAACGCTTACCATCGAGTTTAGTTGGCAGATATTCAAAGCTGAAGTTCTCGTACACTAGGTTCCCAACAACCCATTTAACAGTGAGGGCACCCTTTGTTCTACAATGTTCAGCTTTAAGAAGCGACCCCAAAACCCAAAGGGAAAAAGTGTAATACGGGGGTACCTAGATAGCACATGTGCGCTTGCAGTTTTATGTCACGAGAAGCCATCAAATCAATCCCTAAACCTTCAGCCTCACTCTAACCCTGCCCAAACACTACACTGGCTTGCTGTTGAGGAACTCAGGTTACGTTGCCATAAAATGGGTGTTCGGTAAATAGTAGGGTTTCCTGACTATGGTAATTCAAAAAAGTTCCCGCACAGCCGCCTAGTGAATCGCTTGAAAAACCAGAAGACATGACGTTGACGCTCCTAGTTCCCACCCTCAGTAACTAGTGTCTGTTTTACAAACTGATCATTCCAACTTGCCGTAAAACTCACCATCCAAATCATCAATCTCACAAGAGGCAAGATGGCACGCAATTTTTGTTTTTTAACTTAAGCTATTCATTGAATAACCATGTCACTATCTGGCTGATAGACCGCGGTGCCTTCAACTCACAACCCTGAAAATGCAGATGGGAAGGCGAGAATGGGAAACATCCGCCAAACACCAGCGAACCCTGAAACCTCAGCTGATTTGGGAGTTTATATGGGTGGTTGTCAAAATTATAGTCCCTTTTTGGGTCCCTATTATAATACGGCACCTAATATTTAGGGTACTCAGAAAGGGACCATAATTTTGATAACCACCCATATAGATAGCCCCACTATAGAGATGCCTACAATTCCCTTGGTACATTCCCAAGTATCCCTGAGCCTGCCAAGGCCCGCATGTTTGAGAAATCCTGCTTCCGGAACCAAGAGGCCAGTCGGGCACCAGTCGACAAACTGGATGGTGCGCTTAGTCTTGATGGTGGCCACTGCAGCGTTCACATCCTTAGGCACCACATCGCCACCTGAGGATCAGCCAGCGCAGCAAGCAAAAACTGAGATCCCATTCAAGGATTGGCTCGGCACTCTAGGCGCTCGGCGGTACATCATGCAGCAGGCCATGTACTTGCCTGGGCCGCTCTTCTGTGATTTGCGGATGTAAGTCCAGGGCAGGGGATGCTAGCGCTTTGACGAGAGAACGGCCAAGGCACCATGACGAGGATCGCACTTGACCATCATGGATGCTGGCTCGAAGACGGACATGGTGATCTCAGCCACGGACAGCTGCTCATGGTAGGCCTTCTCCGCAGAGATGACAGGGGCATAGGAGGTCAACATGAAGTGGATACGGGGATACGGGACCAAGTTGGTCTGGAACTCCGTGATGTCCACGTTCCTGCCGTCTTCAGGGTTGAAAATTTAGGGTTTAGTGTTTAGGGTTCAGGCAAAACAAGCGTTTCCGGATGGGCGCATCTTTCTGAGGCCTGGGAGGGTTGCATGCAGGTGCACTCAAACCATTTACCCTAAACCTCAAAGAATGCAGCCGAAAGCCGAGGATCTACACGAGCTAGGGCTTAATTAGGCTTCTCCAGTCATCCCATGCATGGACCTATGCTTATGGCGCTGCAAGTAAACTGTACATGGAGGTTTCCAAAAATTAGGGTCCCTTTCAAGGGTCCCATAACAAGGATTATGCTAGCATTTTGGGGTGTACATTGGACCCCCGGAAACTATCACATGCTTGTAGGGCCAGTGCTTTTTAGGACGGACCTGTGCTTGTGGTCCCGTAAAGTCCGCATGGAGCCGGGCTGTTTCTGGCTTTTTGGTGTTTAACCCTTGACTCTAAACCCCAAACCCTAAACCGTAAAATCAGCCGGGGGCTCAGGGCGCCATCGAAGCGCAAGGAAGCAGTCAGACTGGAAATAATCTGAGCGATGAGGCGGTTGAGGTTGGTGTAGGTCGGGCGCTCGATGTCAAGGTTCCTGCCATGTTGATGTGGGGGTTAGGGTTTGGGGTGTAGGGTCCGGCGTTTAGGGTTTCGGTTGTTCTAAAGGTCCTTGAAAAGAAGGGGGTCATCTGTAGCAGCACGCCATAAAACCCTGAAACCAAGCCAGGTATCTCGAGCATCTACGCCCGTTGCTGAAGCAGAATACATGCAGTTTTGCAGGAATAAGCCCCAAATTCTAAATCCTGAAACCATTGAAGACGCTAAATCCTAAATCTCTAATCCGTGCGCTTAAGCTCCAAGAACCTAGCACTTCGAATCTCCAGGCCTGCGGCAGATATCGTACAACGCCTCATTGTCGTACATAATGGTCACCTGGGTTGCGTCAAAGAATTTATGCTACAAGAACTCAAACTAAGGGACCATAATACGGTAAGTTTAAAGGTTTACGTAGGGTTCTGGGTTTGGGGATCTAAGGTTTATTGCTAAAGTTGCCATAACATGGGTATATATGTATATAATAGTAGGGTTTCCATGTAATAGTAGCTTACTGTAACTTGTTTTAACTGAGATACGTTAGGCTAAGTTACCATAATGTGGCAGGTTCTAGTGTTGGGGCTCAGGAAATCAACATGAGTTACTGTGATAGCTTACGGTTTGAGGGCTTGGGGTACTTAAATCAAGCTACTAGCATGGTTTGCTCAAGAACCTAAACTACAAGAACTTAAGCTAAGTTACTGCAATGTGGTAGAGTTTAGGGCTAAGGCTTCAGGACCTCAAACTACGTTACATAAATGGTAGGTTTTAGCGTTGAGGGCTTCAGCTACTCAGCTACTTGAACTATGTTACCATGATGGGTTGCCCTCAAAGGGTTGCAGGGGCTATAAAACGATTATATAGGGTTGAGGGTCAAGCTGGGGATCAAGAAAAACAAACGCTGCGATCCTTAGGAGCAACCCAGTCACATCGGTGTGCTCCAGCAGGGAGTGCACACACAGGACCTGAGTTGTTCAGTTCCCCTACACCCTAAAGCCAAAATCCTAACTTACCCCAAACCAGCATGGACCCTTGTCGCCGAATTAGGACTACCGACAATTTGATGCGGGGAGTGTATGGGTTCCACGTGTGCTTCTTAAGCTGGCGGAAGCGGGCAAACCCAACCACGCAAAGTGCGCTCTTCTCAGCTACAAGCCCTTTCGTATAATCCCTCCCTTAATATGAAAGACCCACCCCAATAGTCTTGAATACGGGCCCGTATGCATACAAACCACACTGGGAATTTCTAACAATACTGGTGGTGGGGGGTTTTTAGTACAAGGGGGTGGGGATTACAAACCACCGTCTGGGGTGAGCTCAGGTGGGGATCATCATAACCTGCTCCCTACCAAGAGACCGTGTTGTACGGCTCGACGACGGCCGTTGCGACCTGCGGATACGCAGCGTCACGCGAAGAACCTTTCCTAACCTACTTCTCATAACTTCTAGGACATAATTGAAGCTTTTTTTTGGGGGGGGGAGGGGGGGGGTGGGTTATGGGGTACTTATGAAAGCTTCGATTACAAAATAGTACCATTTGGGTGGGTACTTATTAAAGTTTGCAGTACATGATGGTACCATTTGGGGAATTTATTGGGGCAATGGCATTTATTGTCAGGGCAGGGAACCAAGAGATCTTGAGAGGTGTTGCTGAGTGCTCATGGGCAACATGATAACCTAACCCCCTCCTTCAAACATGCCAGCAGCAGTGGGGGGGCCTGCTTCAAAGGGTTTAAGCTGGAGTCTCATAATAAGGATACCGCAACGGAATCATAACTGGCGGTAAGTATCCGTTTTCTGGTGACTTAGAAACAAGATCTCCGGTGCAGGCAACGTTGCCCTTCCATACAGCATGCGCCCAATACGTCGAAAAATCCGCAATCACACTGTACACTGCCAGAATGCCATCCTTTTCAGTGTCACCAATATAATACAGCGCCACTGTTTCAGGTATCCCAACAAACGGACCAGAATTTTGACAATGCCCATATGGGTCCGTCTCAAGCTTCAGACACCTCTGTTGGACAAATTCTGGGCTTCACCCGAACACCTAAACCTTAAACCCTAAACCCTAAACCCTATACCCTATACCCTCAACCTTAAACCCTAAACCCTAAAGCTTTAAAGCCTCAACCTTAAAGCCTAAACCCTCAACCTTAAACCCTAAACCTTAAACCCTAAACCTTAAACCCCAAACCTTCAACCCTAAACCCTACACGTTAAACCCGAAACCCTAAACCTTA